ATAGATAATTATATTAGAAGTAACTTTTATTTGAAGAATTTTCTTCTCCAAACGTAAATAACAGATATATTCCATAAAATATAAAAATGACCACCTATAAAGTACCCCCCCAGATGTTCCGACACTGCCCAAAATATAATCAGCTCATTGGACGCTGAAACAAAGCTTAAGTTTAAAATTTGGTGTTTTTCTGTGTATCGGTTCATGAGTTATGCGTTATACAGACAGACACACACACACACACACACACACACACACACACACACACACACACACACACACACACACACACACAGACACACAGACACACAGACACACACACACACACAGACATCATCGCGAAAATAGTCAAAACGGATTCAGGGGATCTCAAAACGTAAAAATCCGTCGAAAACTCGAAGTCGAAAAAAATCATGATTCCTATACTTTCCTTATATCTGTATACAGATAGGAAAGTAAAAATTATAGAGAATTATATTACAAACAACTTTTATTTAAACAATTTATATAAAAATTTTTTTTTAAATTTTGTCAAATTTCTCGAATACGGACCATTTTAAGAAAATTTTGTATAGAACAAAAATTATAGACAATAATATTGTAAGTAACTTTTATTTAAAGAATTTTCTTCTCCAAAGGTAAATAACGGATATATTCCATAAAATATAAAAATGACCACCTATAAAGTACCCCCAAATGTTCCGACTATGCCCAAAATCTAATCAGTTCATTAGACGCTGGAACAAAGCTTAAGTTTAAAATTTGGTGTTTTTATATGTATCGGTTTATGAGTTATGGTGGATACAGACACACACACACACACACACACACACACACACACACACACACACACACACACACACACACACACACACACACACACACACACACACACACACACACACACACACACACACACACACACACACACACACACACACACACACACACACACACACACACACACACACACACACACACACACACACACACACACACACACACACACACACACACACACACACACACACACACACACACACACACACACACACACACACACACACACACACACACACACACACACGCACACACGCACGCACGCACGCACGCACGCTCGCTATGAGTGAGATGATCGAATGGTAAGAAATCGAGAACTCGGCTATCCTGTTTAGAATATAGTAACGGGGCTAAAATTATCGTAACCCAGGCCGTAACCCGTCCATAGTCCGTAACCCGTCCATAGTCCGTAACCCGTCCATAGTCCGTAACCCGTCCATAGTCCGTAACTTGGTCATAACGATCTGTTGCCGTAACGGCGTAACCGTATAGCGTAGGCGCAGGTCGGCGAGTCGGTGTAGGCCACAAAGCACATAGAGGTTCCACGTGAATGACCAAGGTCAAAACCGACAACTGACATTTTTTATGCTATTTGCTCCAAACTCTAGATGGGGCTACTGGTAAAATTCTGATTTCTTACTCCATTTTTAAGCTTTATGGGAGAAAAACTTAACCAAAGACTCCAAAGATGTGACGTGTATTTATTTATGTTTTTGGTTAATCTCATTTTTCCGTCTGATTTTAGTGATTTTTTTGTTGGCTTTGGCTTTTGGTTTCTGTTTATAGTTTCGTCTTAGTTATTTGCAAAATTGTGATGTTTTGCTTTTCTATTTGCTACTGTGTTTTGCAATAATTTTGGTGCTACCTGTGGGTGCTACGTTGAAAACTTCGAGAAAAACTTATTGATTCACCATGCATCTGCATCATAAAAAGACAAACGGGTATAACAACTAATTGATAATCAATTTATCACTGGACTAGATTCCGAAATCATTTTTCACATAAGAGAGTAATACACAAAGCAGTGGAGTAATACCACCATCTGTATTTGGAAGGAAAATACCTATTTATCATTGAATGAATAGTTAAAATGATTCACCTTTTAATACAATACCTATATTACATTTGTCCTCGGTTTAAAAGACATTTATAAAATATATTATTTTAGTGTTAATAAAATGTAATATCCTAGTCTCTACTTCACATTTAAATTATTGATAGGTATTTTAAAGATTTGAGAGTAAGTATTCGTTAAATATGTATTATTATTTGTATTTATTTTTATCTAATAATATTTATTTAAGTTATTAATAAACATATTTTAAGAATGTTCTATTTGATTATTTATTGATATATCTTATATTTATTTAATAATAATATGCAGAACCAACTCTCCACATCAGACCCCTGCTTATAACAAATTAATTCCTCAAATTTGGTATAATCGACCTAAATTATTTTGTAAAATAAAAGTTTCGAACTTACTAGTTCCATTCTTTATTTTATAAAATAATTTATGTGGAAATCATTTAAAATTTAATTTAAAACTACTACCTACTCCTAAAAATTACAATTTGAATTTACCGCCATCTGTCAATTGTCATTTTAGTTCCAGCTCCAAACACAAGGTGGCGCTAATTTGGTTTAAAAGTTTAACATTGGCGTGGGGTCTCTAGAAGATACGTGCTTTGTGGTGTAGGCAGTTTTGCCGTTGCTATTACAATTGTAACAAATCTATTACTAATAAGTTACACCACAGGGGGTCGATTCTCGACTTGTAGGAACCTTTTCCTATAGGAATTTGTGACACTTTCCTATATGTAGGAAAATGTCATAAATTTTCGATGTACATAAAAATGTCAAAAATTCATATAGGAAAATATTCCTACAAGTCGAGAATCGACCCCCTGTACGTTATTACGACTTTTAAGAAAAGAGGAAAAATCTATTACTTTTTAAAATATCGAAATTTTATGAGTGGTTCCATCTAAACTTCAGAGCCCATAAAAAAATTAAAAATCTATACTTTTATTATTTCTGTTTTCTTGTTTCAACAAATCCAAGATAGGCGTCACTTTATTATATTGTATTATTTTTTTTTGTTATGGGTCAGTTTTTAGTTTAGTAGGGGATTACCACCAGCCTGCAGCATTTTATATATAATTTATATATTGTTAAACCCTTCAAGACTTTGAAGAAATATTAAATTACAAAAATTTATCCTTAGGTGAATTTTGGGCTAACATCTTTAAAATAAAAATATTCACTGGATGAACCAAATATTTAAAATTTCAAAAAAATTATTTGTGGTTTATTATCATTACCCCATTCTTCTACAGCAGCAGAAATAATTTTCTCTCAACTAAATAATATTAAAGTTTTATTGTTAAATGTATTTAATAATAGTTCTGGTACATTTCACCGACCTTGATATTAAACTGGATGATGGCTATATGACATAAACCCTACTCCTAATTTCTAAGCCGACAAGAGGCGAGTTCGGTCAGTCAGGGGCTGTAGCGGGACAAATTTTAGGGTGCTTTTAAATGACATTTAAGCGTGTTAAACTGTCACTAATCGGACTAAACCGAACGCTAAAAGAGTCGTTTGGAGTTAAAAGTGTTAAAGGAGTTAAAGGAACGTGGCAAACCGAACGCAATGAAGGGTGAAAAAAACGGCATGACAATTTGGATGCCAGACTGTCAATTTCGAGAATTCTGTCACGTTTTCACGGGCGTCACATACTTTTGGTGAGTTTGGTCTACGCACTCTTTTCACTATATTCACTCCTAAAGTACCTAAGGCGTTCGGGTACGGAAGGAGTTAAAATAAAAGTTTCTCTTTGACCGTTCGGAGATGGTGGAGTGGAGTGTGGATCGGGCATGCGCATAAGGTGATTTAAATCGATAATAAGTTAATTGTGACTGATTCTTTACTAAATAAGTTTTTTTTTTTTGATTCCCGTGAATATCATTAATATGGAAGAAACTTATACGGTCGTTACTGATAAATACGATTAAATTTTAAGTACTGGTATGTAACATTGACAACTGACATTGCACTCCGAGAGTTAAAGGAGTAAAATCATATTCGCACTCCGTTTACGCCTAATTACTCCACTCCACTCTGGAGTGCGCAGCCCGAACTAACCTTTTGATTACTATACGGGACAAGAGAGAGGTCCGACACGCCCAACATAGGGCGCGGCCATTTTGATTCCTGTGGCACAGTTTACAGCTAAAGAATCAGATCGCTCACTCTGCGTCGGCACTTTTGATCTCAATGTTCCAGTTTATACACTGTGCAACTCGGATAATACAATATATGACAACCGCCTATAACAAAACAGCAGTCTTCTGCGTATCCCGAATTTGTATCCCTGGAGCGGATGTTATTTTGGAACTTTCAACTGGTCCGAGTGAGCTAACTGATTCTTTAGCAATAAACTGTGACTCCAAAAATATTATTTACTGACACTGACAGCAGCAAGCAAAATATCAGGTGCGTTTTAATCATCCGCTTCTGCTTCCGGAATTGTCGGTTTAGTCAGATTAAAACAGGAAAACCGACAATTCCGAAGCAGAAGCGGATGATTAAAACGCACCTATTAAAAATATTGCGCCAAGATGTAGGCAACACGTAATAAGAGTTCAAAATGGCGGAGTTTTCTATCTCCTTTTAAAAGGCACTCAGAAAGCTGCGCAGTGCGACCATTCTCCGTATAGTAAAAGAAAATCAAAGTATGTGACGGGCGTACTATGATAAATTATATTATTTTTTTATTAATAACGTCCTATTTTAATAATTATTATTATTGGAACATTTCTTTCAGCTGCGTATTATTCAAAATTCATTTTAAGTGATTTTCTTAAATTAAAAGGTGTCGTAGTTGAATGTAATAAGTGTTAAATTTAATTTTGATGATAATTTTTACTTCATTTCGATACGCACATGTAGGCGGCAACGTGTCAAATATCACCTCGCTATGCGGCTTGATTTTGTTGATCGGCTTTGTTCTTCTAGTTTAATATATATTTCAGTGGGTACATTTATGTTACTTTAAAATATTATCTATTACGATTTTATTACCTCTTGGTTTAAAATTCTATTACGGAAAAATTAATTGGTGTGGCAACACTGGGCGTAGCGTAAGTGTTCTGTGCTGTGGTCAGCGACGTCGGCGTATGTCAGCTGTCAGCGTATGTAAACAAAATGGTCGTTTACGTTTGATGTTTGTTTTTAGTTTATCCATTTTTATTTTTAGAATTTTCTGATTTTTCTGGTTAGTTTCGTTTACTTTTTTGATTGTTGGAAATTCCTGTTTTATATTGATATAATCGTGGTAAATTCGATTTATCTCTTGCTATAAATATTATTTAAAAATGTTTGTTTTAGAATTTATGGCGGGAAGAAAAAGATGTGTTATTGCTATGTGCAGAAAAACAAGATTAAATTAACAAAATACGCCAACTCCTGAACCGTCGATATTACTATGAAATTTTATTCAAAATTAAGAGGCATTTTTACAGAATGAGTTGGTAAGTAAATACCTCCGACACTACACAGTTGTCCATTATACAGGTTAATTTTAAAACGTTTCCTAGGTATTCTAATTTAACTGAACAAAAATAGTTTTCTATTTTATCTAATAATTATTATTATTAGAGTTCAGGTGAAGTTGAAGTCATGCTATCTATATCATAATTAATTAGAAATTATCACAATCTATCACAGGAAATTGAATTTGATTTTACATGTTTTGGCATAAATTATAAAACAGAAGTCACTTTAGTTCCCTATCGATTCTTGCCTTGATTTGGTTAACATTAGCAGCTGTTACAGTGTCTTGTAATAGTCTTTATTCATCATAAGTACATGTTATTTACAATAACAAAAACGAGAAAATGAGGAAAAAGTGAGTTTCAGAAAAAGGCTGTTTTTTTTTGTCAACTTAACCTGTGAAGCAAACAAATACCTACGTTCTATTCTATATAGAAAAATAAATACCTATTTTTATTGACTAAAACAGCTCAAATGATATTTTAAAGTAAATTAGGTATTTTCCAATAGAATAAAACTATTTTGTTACCGTTTATGTCTTTGTTTCATAATTCAAACTGTTAAGTTTGAAATGGTTTTCTTTGAGACATTTCCTAAAATTAAAAATGGTGTAGAATCTATATTTTGCCTCTATGTCATTCTATTTTTTACTAGCAACATACAAGAATGATCTTTTGAATAATGCAGTACTATGCATGGGTCGAGGCATGGGTGCTACTCATTTTGTGAGAATGTAGGTGAAGATTCCAAAGCAAAAACAATGAAGGTTATTAAAAGCGAATTCTCTGTAAATTGAATTTTAAGTTCAGGACCCAAAATATAGAGCAGGAATATTAAGGAAAATGAGCTAGTATCCATTTTTTTGCTGCATTTATTGGATAATATGTGAAAAACGTCATGTCTTTTTCTTCTTCATGCATGTCACATACTGACATTATCCGTAAATAACAAAACATTGTAGGTATATAATAGTGATGGCTAAATAAAAGTATTTATTCATTCATTCATACAAATAACAATTTTCCATGGCAGTTGTAATAAATCTTTGAATGTTATAATGATTATTATTTCTTAAATTATTCTCCAACATGTCTGCATGTCTGATCTTTTGACAAGAAAATAACTTAGGTAAGGTGGAGCAACAACATAAATGATCGAGGTATATCTGGCATAGCGAAGTAAAATTCGCATTGCTTTATTTTGAAGCACTTCTAATATTTGTAGATAATAATTACTTGAGAAATAACTAAACAGAAATATATAGTTAAAATAATAGTATTGTGTACAAGTTTTTTTACACCCAGCTGATTTTTTTTATACATTATAGAAATAACAATTTTGTCCCAGAATAGATTTGTTTGGACAAATTTGGTTGTGGATCCAGTATTATACCTAAATATTTTGTTTCCTTTACATATTCAATTACTGTTCTGTCAAATAAAGCTATAGATTTAAGACCGTTTAGTATATAGCATTGAAAAAAATCATTGAGAAGGTTATTTATGAACAAATCAGCCATTCAATGAGTTTTATATAAATGAGTATATAAATTTAATAAAAACTATTCAACGTTGGCAGTTACTATAGATTTTTAAAGGGCATTAGAGACTGTTGATCAAAAATATTTGATAAAAAAAAGTATGGGTATGGTAGAGCAAGCATTGGAGTGGTTTCTAGATTATCTAAGCAACAGGAAATAAATGTTAAAAGTAAATAACATATCAGAAAAAATAAACTAAAGGAATTCATATTACAACCCCTGTTCAATTTATATCAATGACATTGTTGATATCAAGGGTCAATGTGACACCTGTTAACTGATATATTTTCTTGTAAGGATCCAGGTAACTTAGTAAGAGTTAATGAAACTGAAAAATGTTGCAATAATTTGTTATAAACAAAATGTATGCTGATGAGTAATAACTACTTATGTGAGTTTCTTAATAAACAATATATCACAATTGGAGGAGATTATATACATTTAGTAGAAAAATTCAAATACTTAGAGGTAATGATTGACAAACAGATGAAATTCACAGATAATACTAACACCGTTATCAAAAGTATTGCATTTAAGTTACATTTCCTATATACAAGTTCATTTGGATTATTGCAGTGGAATAAATGTATTTTATAATACTATTATTCTACCTCACTTTAATGATTGTTTCAATACTCTTTTTTTCTAAATCAAAATGAGTTGAACACTACAGAAACTGCAGAATGGGGCAATGTGAATAATATCTTGTTCAATATATACCTACTTCTATTAATCTAATGCTTTAAATTGTATGCCAATCAAAAGTCTCTTATTAAAAAATGCAATCATTTTTATTTATAAAATCACACACAGGTTACTTTCAATGTACCTAAAAGAGAAGTGGGCAACACAAAATTTGCTATTTTTTAAAGGTCTAGATCTCTATAACAAGAAAATTAAATCTGAAACTTTGGTAACTACATTTAAAATCGAAGTCACAAATTAATGAATATTTCTCCAGAAACAGTAACAGGGTTAGTTTTAATTGTATTTGTATTATCTATATTTTAACATATATACAGGGTAGCGAAAAAATCTCGCAACGAGGTATTTTCTTTGAAACGAATGATTGTATAACAATTATGAAATTGTAGCGTGATGAATAGGACTGTGTTACATTATTATTGCTTTTTAATTTCCTATAAATACCGAGATAAATACAGGGTAGCGCACAATGTCTGGCAACAAGGTATTTTAGGGTGATGAATGGGACTGTTACATTGGTAATCTGGTACTTTTTTTAGTATTCTTTAAAAGAAGAAAACATGAGCTTTTCTCTGATATATCACTCGCTTTACATTGCCATAATTTTTAGTTAAAAAAAAGTAAGAACCGTTTTGCAGAAATTTGCTTCTAAACATGTACTTAAGATAATTTGTAACGACTCTATATTTTTAAATTCTAATCTAGTAAGCAAGTGTTAAACTTTTAATAATTCGTGTATTTGACAAGATCTTTGTAGATAAAATTGGAAAAAATATTTAAAGGCATTTTTGATTTATAACAGATTTTGTAATTGTTTCAAAACTTTGTATCTCAGTAACTAATCTCTTTAAGGGTTCATGTTCCTATATCAAAATTTTTCAATAACTAACAAGAGCATTGTCGGTCGAATATACTAGCACCCTGTATATATTTACTAAATTTGCATATTGTGATATTAGCAAACTAGATAAAGGAAATACTTATTTAAAGTTTAACAATAAGATTTTCTTGCTCGAATTTAGTACAATTAATTTTGTTACCTAAAGCCATACATTTAATTTTATTTGTATTTAACTTCAGCTTGTTGGTTATAAGCCAAATATTGAGAATATCAAATTTTGCGTTTATAATAGTTATTAAATTTATGTAGGTATTCCCAGATATAGAAACAAAAGTATCATTTGCACAGAAATTAACAAAATAATTATTTAAATCGTTCATATACAAAATAAATAGCAAAGGGACAAGAATACTCCCTTGAGGAACTCCATAAATACTTTTTACTTTTTTTGAACAGCATTCTTCAATTTTTGTCCTTTGATATGTGTTGCTTAGATCATTTTTTATCCATTCAAGCACTGTTCCAGTTATACCATATTTTTCGCACTTTGATATCAAGTTATCAAGATCTATAGTTTCAAAGGCCCTTTTCAGGTAAATAAAATACTCTAATAACAATTTTTTCTCCATCAATATCTTTTTTCCATTGATTTCAAATTAAATGGCCAACAGTTTTACAAGAATGGTTCATTCTAATTCCAAATTGATTAAAAAAAATGCTTTATTTTCCAAACAGGTTAAACCCCAAACAGGTTAAACCCCAATAGAAAAATATATGTATACATATAATTATTCCTAATTTAAAGAAAATAACTTAAAATACTTAATTTAATAGCTTTGTGCTTCACATATATAAACTGACACTATAAAATCTATACCTATACTATACCTATTTATAAATATTGTCTGAGTAAGTACTCATTGATTTTACGTTTAATGCTTTTAAGAGAGTCGAAAGTTTATGTACAAATTTAATTCAACTGCATATCTTTTAAAATTGTTACAAATTGTATGGGTGGGTGAATTTGTCAAAATATTTGTCCGAGGTGTGGGCAAGTAAAATACCGTTTTATATCTTGTATTGAAATGCGGTACACTAAATTTAATTTGGGAGAGCAGGTCTGGACAGTCCAATAAATTATTAACTAGTTTATATATAAAAGTTATGCCCTGCAGTACTCCCCTGTCTTCTAGAGATATTAAAGATAATTTACCCAATAAAACAGCATTGTCATTCCCCTTTCCGGATAAATCCCATCAATCTTAAATGCAACGTATTTCATAAATCTGCAATGGATAGATTCAATAAGTAATTTATGGGTGACCATATCAGTGCCAGGTATTCAAGACGTGATCTTACAAATGAGTTGAATAATACAATTAGACAATCTATATTTCTGAAATCCTTACAACTTCTCAAAATGAGCCCAATCATTCTCTTAGCTGTGGATGTAATGTTAAATAAATGAGGTAAAAACCTTAACTTCTATTATAAACATCTCAAATACCTTCGCAAAGTTAGAAAGTATAGTCACCGGGCGGTAATTTGTAATTGCATTATGTGGTCCACTTTTGTGAACTGTTTGAGAGAAATATTAAATATTTTTTCCAGAGGTTTGCTGAGTGCACCAGCACAATCCTTAACTATGAAACTTGGAATATTATCATAACCAGATGTTTGTTTTGACTTGAGTTTTTTAGAGCATTAAATATTCTGATAGCGTTCTTCAAGAAATTGGGTCTACTGAATAAAGAAAAGTATTACCTTGCAAGTCATAACTTATAAGAAAAAGCTGAAACTTCTAAGTATAAGCTATTACTTATTTTTATTTGAATAAATACTAGAACTCTTGAAAGTAAATACCAGAAAAATATTTTGAATTTTTTGAGTAATTACTTATAAGTACTTACTTATATTTACTAGTATTTACTTTTTTCATTGCGTATGACGAATAAAATACATGGGAACGCAAACGCAGCCCTGTAAACAAAAATTCATACTAAACAAGTCGTGATAGGATTGTGTGTAACCGCAAGTAAGCATTTGTTTTTAAGTTTAAGCGTTGTATAGGTCTATTCGTCACAATCATGTCTTCGAGTGAGGAAGAATTAATTGCCTGTAGAAATTGGCGGTTACAGACTTATGTTTGTCAAATTGCTAAAAAAGTATAAGGTTCTTTTGAATAAATCAATGATTCCTACTATAGTTCAAGCCAAAGAAAAGGCATGGAAAGATCTCAAATACGAATTTATCAAAATTTCCGGGGCAAATACTACTGTTGAAAAGTCTACACTTTCACTTTCAAAATGCAACAAGAGCTTAGATTTGCTTGGGCTTATGCTTCTCTTTCTATAGTTCTTCCTGTTATGAACATTTATGAAGTCCACCATGTTTAACAAAGTATACTAGCAACTACCGTTGACGTTCTCTAAAAAATGTAGGTTACAGTCCCTCTACATCTCTACAATTTCATAATTATACATTTATTCGTTTCAAAGAAAATACCTTGTTGCTCCACTTTTTGCTACCCTAAATCTCTTATGTGGCGCCCACTTATTTCTAAAATTTTTAGAACGTGATAGCAGAACAAGACAACTCACCGACTTGTTACTTCAGTTTAATTTTGAACAAACAATATTTACATATACTCGTATTACAAAGAGCTCTCAAACATGTCCAGACAACATATTTGCTAACTTTCCTTTCGATCAGACACGCGTGTTAATGACTACAGAGTCAGACCATGACCCTCAATTATTAACTTTCCTAAATCATGAGCGCTCCATATTGGGAGATATAACCCATTTTAGATCCTTCTCTCAAAACAATATTAATAATCTTCTGCAAAATGAAACCTGGCATGACATGAGAAAAGCAACCAATGCAAATAAAAAGCTGAAGCACTTAATGATACATTTAGGAAACATTTTAATGCCTCGATTCCAAATATATCCCAACCTAAAAGAAAATATAATAAACACTTGAGTTATATGAATACAGATGAAATAAAAAGACAAAAGAACTAATCTCATTTTTACAGGACGTCATTAAAAACCAACCGACTACAATAAAAAGTTATATAAACAAGAGAAAACTAAATACAATGTATTGGTGGAAAATGCAAAACAAAATAACACTTCAACAAATTAATAATTCAGACAATAAATCTAAAACTGTATGGCAAATAATAAATAATGAAACAGGACGTAATAATAAAAATAAAATATAATCTCAAATCGATATAGAAACCTTTAATAAATATTTTGTAAATCATTCATCTGATATAGCAGAAGGCATCCTCAATAACAATAAAAATAAAATTGACTTAACATCAATCACTTCTTATCTGCCTTTACTGAATCTGACACCATAGATATAATACAAAACATTAAGGGTGAGATTACAGAACATCTGCAACTTTGCAGATCTGCAAATAAGGCGGCAACTTTGCAGATCTGCAAATAAGTAGGACTTACATATGCATGTATCAAGTTTTCGTATTCCAAAAAAGATCTGCAAATTCGCAATATTTCTTGTGGTTTATTACTCCCAACAACACTAAACCCAAATCCATTACTATGTTTAAAAACTCGATAATCTGACACCATGAACTGTATTCAATCAAAAGAAACAGAAGACTTCATGGTTGTAGGATGTTCTAACCTTCTTAAGGGTGGATTTGGATTTAGTGTTGTTAGGGGTAATAAATATTGCGAATTTGCAGATATTTTTTGGATACTTGCATCTGTAAGTCCGCCATATTTGCAGATCTGCAAAGTTGCCGCCATATTTGCAGATCTGCAAAGTTGCAGACATTCTGTAATCTCACCCTATATCAAAAAGAACTCAAGATTTATATGAAATTAATACCTATTTATTAAAAAACTGCGCCCAAAATATTGTTGTTCCTGTTACTGAATTGATAAACTGTTGTTTAGCTGAAGGTACCTTTCCAGATGTTTTTAAAACATTCAAAGTTCTACCATGCCACAAAAAGGAGATGACTCAATACCTGAAAATTTTCGCCAAATACAAATTTTACCATGTTTTTCTAAAATACTTGAAAGTGTTATAGTAAAATATATTGTGCATTTCTTTGAAAACAACAACCTGTTTTCTGTGGAATAATATGGTTTTAGACATGGGAGAATAACTACAGATGCCATGCTGGCTTTAATGAATAACATTCAGGTGTCTTTAGAAAACAGATCACAATGCGTTTCTATATTCACTGATCTGTCTAAAACATTTGACTGTGTAATTCACACATTGTTAATGAACAAACTAGATAAATATGGCATTAGAGGCATTGCAAATAAGATGATTGCTTATTTGCAAAACAGACAACAAAGTTTATATTACAGAAATAAACTTAGTAAACCTTTATTAATGAAAAGAGGTGTTCCACAAGGATCCGTACTAGGCCCTCTATTATTTTTAATATATACCAATGATCTTCCTTCATATATGAATTCAAATAATGCCGATTTACTAACTACCATGTATGCAGATGATACCAATTTCTCATATCACTGCAATAACACATCTGACATAGTTATCAAAAACTCTAAGATTATGACTGAAGCTAAACAATGGTTTGATAGCAACGAATTATTTTTAAATCACAATAAAACTGAAACATTTGTCTTCAGGTTGAACTAAACTACTAGTGAAACAATGAACACTAAATTTATCAGTATATAATTTGACACACAACGTACATGGAACTATCAAATAAATAACCTATGCAAAATTCACGTTTGCTCTACGTAGAATATCAAATATAGTTAATACAGAAACAGCAATAACTACTTATTCTGGCTTATTCCATTCCAGTTTAACATATGGGATTCTAACTTTGGGAAATGTTAGCTTCACTTCACTACAAAGACTTTTTATCTTGCAAAAATCAGCAGTTCGCTCTATTCTGTGGGTAAATTATTATGAACCATGCTGACCACTATTTAAGCAACTTAGCATAATGATCCTGTTTTCGCAAATAGTATTTGAAAACTTGCTAGACATAAAAAATAATTTGGGAAACTTTACATGTCACTCAGACAATCATGCATACGATATCAGAGGGAAAAATCAGCTAATCCAAACGAGAACTAGAATAAACAAGTCCCGAACAATAGGCAATTCATTCAATAATGCACTTCCACCCCACATCCGTAATCTACCAGGAAAAAGTTTAAACATCAAATTAAAAAGATATTACTGGACATGTGTCTGTATAACACCAACATTTATTTTGTAAGAGTGAAACATGTCACCTAATATTTTTAATATTGTATTTTTTTATATATTTTTTATTACTATTACCAACCATGATCTTCTAAAATCCTATTTTATTTTAAATTTTATACAAGTATGCTGTATGTTAATGTATGTAAAATGTGGTGTATTTTACCATTTATGTGTACTGACGACTATGTAAACATTTTTATTATATGTATTATTGAGAATAAAAAAATATAAATATAAAATAACATATTAGGTATTCCAACCACCTGTCAAACAATAGCTGCCAGTGGGAAGGGTTCTTATATCTAAGGGGGTTGCGACATAGCCTTCCATCTTGGACGCTATTTTTATTCGAAATAGTAGTCGCCAAGACTGCCAATTTATGAAAAATGTATTATGCGTTTTTTTTAATCACATTTTTATTGTGTTCAACATAAAATATTTAAATTGAATCCATTATTCATGATTTCACGATTTGTAGATAGAATACATCATATATCGCAACCCCTTAGATAAACAAACCCTCCCCTTTGACCGTTTTTTGTTTGGAATGCTTAATATTATAATATACATAATGTAAGAAAGCAATCACTATTAAACTCATCCCCTGAGCATTTAACCGAGCAAGATCATCAGTGGTATATTATTTTTCTTTTCCTTTTTCGAACATAACGCATCTGATTTTCACTGATTGATTGATAACATAACAATTAATTTCAGATTGGCCTTTATTCAATATTTTTAAAAAGACTGCTGTACACTCAATACACAAAAAGAACCCTCGATGAGTCTTTGAAAGGAAAGCATCTGAAAAAAAAGAGCTAAAAGAAAGATGAATAGAGGATACTTTAGAAGAAATAATCAGTCCTTTTTAATATGGAAAATTAGCATATTGGAAAAGCTTATGAAATCTTGAAAGATATACAAACTACTTCAGAAACTGAACACCATCCTCATAACTATTTCAGAACCTAAAATGGAATAGATGAATTACAAACAAAAACAGCCAAAGTAAGTACTAATAATTGACAGTCTTCAGTAATCTTGTACCTTAGGAGGCGTTTAACACACACATATCCACACTGTGAGATATTTAAATTAAAAACTTAACTGGATTAATTATATGCTAACAACACTACTCATTAGTTCTGACTACTACTCACTAGACTGACACCACTATTTGACACCTTGTTGAGATCTGTACTGAGACTAGACAACACATCTTACATCTGTTTCCTCTTCCCTTTAAGCTAAGACATAATATGGTCTTTAAAATGAGAGAGGGTTGCTTAATCTCTTGTCCACTTCTTGTCCTAACCCATGGTGGTGTCTAATTCTCCACAATGTGTCTAGTTGGCTCAATATTTGAATTTAATTATGTTGCCTAAGCAACAATTATCATTCTCAGGAGTCACATGTTGAGTTGTAAATATAGCCTCATCATTGGTCTCACCAAGATCATTATTATTCTGGACTGGTGTAGTTGGATTATCTAATTTTTTTTAGATTTACCCAATTATGCTTCATGATCTTGTTATTTACATTCACCAGCGATGTCCTTGGTGAGTCATGTCCAATTATTGTGCTAAGATACCACTGATTACTAACGTGACTATCCACAATAACATGGTCGCCAGTAATCAGAGGTTCAAAACTTGTAGCACCCTTATTATAATATTTTGTATGTTGATCCCGCTTATAGGCTACTTTTAGAGTGCATTTTTGGCATCCATACACTAGCTGACACAGGTATTTTAGTTTTGCACAGTCTGTTCATCATTAGTACAGATGGAGCCAACTCCATATGTTCGTGTGGGCTGTTTCTGCACTCTATGAGTGATACATATACATCTTTATTTTCTTCCATTGATTTTATTAACAATTTTTTTGCAATAGCGACACCACGCACAGCTAGTTCATTTGACATTTGATAATAAGGACTTCTTGTTACTATTGGGAAGTTCCATTCTGATAAGAATGTTTTAAAATCTTGTCTGAGAAACAGAACATCATCACAAACTAAATAATCTGGGCAACCAAATTCTGAGAATATAGATTTTAATATTAACTTGAGTAGGAATCAAAGATTGTCAAATAACTTTTCCCTCATAAGGAGAAATGTCAGCAGCTGTCCTTTTACAAGGGCGTGTTGGTGTTGGATAGAAAATAATTTATTTCTGATTTATTTCAAGTTTTTTTCACACAGCCTGTAAGATTTAATTCATGTCTATGTCACTTGTCATATTAGGTCAATATAACATTTTTCTAGCACGTCTTATTTTTTTTTTCTATTCTGACATGCCCTTCATGGACTTGTGATATTTCTTATCTTATATTCAAGGGTACAATTATTAATTTATTCCCTAAGAATAGTAATTTTTTTCAAACATTTAATTACTCTGAATCGCCAATAATGAGTTTGACCATTTTATCGCGTTTTGTTGCAAACACATGTTACAAAAACTAGTACATAACTTGTCTGTCAGTTGTGACTACTGACCTGACATTCGTAAACACTACATTTCTACTTTACTTTCAAATTGATGTTGAATGTTAATATATAACAATATTTAACGAATAACTAACTTAACATTTAACAAATTTATCATATAATGATTAACTTTAAAAACAAATAACTAGTTCAAAATCTTGTGAATGGGGCTGCTTAATTTGCATTTTTGGTCTTAAATTAGGCACTGCTTCAATTTATTCATTATTTATTTCTTCTACGATCACTTCATCATTCACTATTTCATTAATTTCTTCCTTCATCATCTTGTTTTTCATTTGGGGAAACTTGGTCTCTTAAATTTCTTCATTTTCTCCTGGATTTTCAACCTCATCTGTTGTTTCACATTTGAATCTATATTTTTATCTTAACAAAATGTTTGAAAAATGAAGAATTTCTTTGTATTATTTTACCTTCTCTTTCTGCTGTTATTTTTGTCCCTTTTATTTTTGGTATTATAAATGGGGCAGGATCATAAAATGGAAATACTGAATTTTGTTTGAATTTTTTACACAAGACTGGTTCACCTATTTTGAACTGAATTGAGCTTGTGTCTTTTCTTATATGCGTAATGTTCTTTTCTTATCTGCATACTGTTTTTGATTTTCCTTTTGCTTGGAATCTTTTCTTATTTTACTGTCGTTTCCATAGTTGGCAGTGTTGGTTGGTAATGATGTTTGTATTTCTCTCTGAAATACAATTTCATAAGGACACATTTTCGTTGTTGATAATTCATTAGAAAACTAATGATTTGTGATTCGAAATTCTTTGATTAAATCTATGCACATTTTAATGATTTATTGCATGTTTTTACAAATCTTTGAACAAGACAGTTTCCGGCCAGTAAGGATTTATTCTGATGAAATGGACTTTTGTATGATGCTAGAAAATCAATAAATTCCTTAATATTGAATAGTGGGCCATTATCAGATTTTAGTGATTTTGGAATTCCAAATGTGCTGAAAGTATTTTCTAGAAATGATTTGATTCTGCTAAAATTGGTAGAATTTATTACTTCTACAATTGGGAATCGAGAGTATTCTACCACTATGATAAAAACATACTTTTTGTTGAAAAATTGACCTGCAAATTTTACATAAATGGCTTGGAAGGGGAAATCTGGTAATGTTGTAGAATGAATTGGGTGTCTGTTATATACTGGAACTACTGCCTGACATACGGTGCAGCCTCTTAGGTAGTTTTCGATTATAATGTTAATGTTAGGAAACTATACCTTTGCTCTCAAAATTTGTTTAGTTTTTTTTATTCCTAGATGCCCTTTATGTGCTAATTGAATTGCTTTCTGTTGCAGTGATATAGGTAAAACTAATCTCGAAGAATTGATATCATTTTCATTTTCATCTTAAAATGTTTTAATTCAGGTGTTGACCATACCTCCGCATCCTCAGTGCGAATTGAAAAATGTTAGTTTCGAAATAATTTTTTCATTTTGTGTTTCTGACCTCTTATTCCACTGACATTTTAATTGGAAGACTATATTTTATCAGAAAATTTACATAATTTGTTACCCTGTCAAAATCAGGTTCTTTTAATGTTTTTGGATATCTTGATAGGTAATCTGAAGGATTTGTTGAGTCTTTTTGATGTACTACTTTAAATTCGTATGCTTGTATTTTTAGTAGTAGACATTCAATTCTAGAATTTGTTGTAATTTTACAATTATGTATTATTTTTACCAGGGGCAGATGATCAGTATGCAATATACATATAGAGCGATTACTAATACAAATACAAATGAAAATGTTGTATTGTCCAACTAGATGCCAATGTTTCATTCTTAATTTGACTATGGCTGCTCTCTGTTTCAGTAATTGAACGACTAACATATGCCAAAATATTAGTATTCGGTCCTGATTCCTGTGATATAATGACGCCTATGGCACGTGGGCCTGCGTCTACATATAAGTGTGTTTGTTTATTAATGCCATAGTAAGCTAACTTTGCTACATCTTGTAACCGGTTTTTTTAGATATTGAACCGCTTTGTCATGTTTTTCAGTCCATTCCCATTCTGAATCTTATTATCAATCCTCTTAGCACTTTAGTGTTTTTTGCTAATTTTGGTAGGAATTTTCCAATATAATGTATCATCCCAAGCAGACTTCGTACTTCACTACTGTTAGTGGGTGCTTCTAAGTTCACAAATGCCTGGACTTTTTTGGATCTGGATGGATGCCTACATTTTAAAATATGTATTCAAAAAACTTTATCTTGTTTGTATTAAACACACATTTTTTTGTTGATTGTTAGTCCGTTTTCTTTTAGTTTAGTTAATACTATTTCTAGAGCTTTGTTGTGTTCTATTATTGTTTCTTCAAAAATAAAAATTTCGTCACTTAATTAGATTACATCTGGTATGTTTGTTAATAGTAGTCACGCTGTGTTTTGAAAAAATTCTGAATAAGCATTGATGCCAAAACTTAAATGCTTGTAATGGTAAAGTTCTCTATGAGTTTTACATGTTGCGAAATCTTTTTCAAGAACAAGTTGGTGATATCCATCTTTTAGATCAATTTTACTAAAGATAGTTGAACCATTGATTTGTTTTATGAAAGTATTTGTGATGTGTCACTTTCTTAATATTACCTTGTTGGGACTTCTCATGTCTACACATATGCGAAATACATTGAATTTTGTTTTGGCACAATCACTGTTGCTGATACCCATGGTGTAGGACCTTCTGCTGTTTCGATAATGTCCTGTTGTTCAAGACGTTTAAGTTCTTTTTCTAATTTGTCTCCGAGTCGATAACTTTGTTCACATTTAATACTAGTTGAATCAGGTTTAGTTTTAGAGAGATATCATAGCTAAGCAAGGATTCACAATCATTGTTGACAACATAAACATCTACTTCTAATGACTGTTCATTCTTTGAAAAATTTCAACAAAATTTTCCTATCACCTTTAACTTTTCTTTTCAACACTATGGAAAAATGTTAGGTGTCTCAATACATAGTTTTTGTTTGGGTAACTTTGAAAATGTTCTTGCACTGATTAAATTAACAGTTGTGCCTGTGTCTATAATAAACTTTTTATTTCACTTAGATACATTTCTGTTATAGGCAGTTTTAATGAGTCGTTCAAATTAACATGAAACGAATATTCATCTGGGCTTTCAGCGTCATTACACTCAGTGCTGTTGAAATTAACTTGTTTTGGCTTATGTTTATTAAAATTGACTTTTGATAGGCACATCTTGGAAAAATGCCACATTTTCTTGCACTTTATTGCACTGAATGTTCATAGCTGGACAATCATATCGGCCTCTGGGATGCGATGGGTTACCACAGTTTTTGTAAATTTGAGTCTGTTTTTGATCATAATTTTTGTTGTGTGAATATTTGTTCATGTTTCTTCGTTGTTGTTTCACTCTGGATACCACTTGCTTATCTTCTATTTTCTGGATACGTATTTCAGCGAGTTTCAAAATGTTGGCTTGTGCTAACAGCTGTTCTAATGAAGGTGTTTCCTTCATTGCATATCTTCTGAGTTTTAATGATGCGGTATATAGTATGATTTGTGACTATTTCTTTATTTTTATCTTTACTAATCTCGTGTAATACTCTTCTAAGGTTTCATCTTCTTCTTGTTTAGCCTGCCTAAATTTAAAATTTTTATATTTCATGTTTACTTTTGAAATAAAATAATTCTAAAATTTTAGTTTTGCTGTCTCATATTTCGTTAGGTTCGTGTTGATGTAGACATTGGTTCTGGAAGAGCATCTTTACCAACACAATGACGGAATAGTGCTTTCTTTCTTGCATCATCAGTTATTCCGGATGAAATCGGAAAATTGTCAAATCTTTTTATCCACTTTTCCCAATTGTTTTCGCGGTTTGTTTTTAAGCTAAAAACTTCAATGTTGTTAAGAAGTTCCATTTTTTGTTGTTGTTAATTGGAATTTTTTGTTTAAAATGTAGAATATTCGATCACTAATACTCGTCGTCAATATCGCGTTTAATGTTTTGTTAAATTCGCGATTCGTATTGTTGTTTTTTTTTTTGTACAAAAACTAGTATGACGATGAATGAGGGAGTGAATGAGGGAGTGAATTGGTGAATGGGAAAGTAGTAGGACCTTCAAATGGTGGTACAACACAAGTTTTTTCGATTAAATTATAATAACTGAATAGCATTATACATAATACAATGATAACACCAAATAAAAAATGACTATTGAACTGAAATAGAGCCAGGCATTCAAAAGAACAAAAAAATGTGTTACGTGTGTTATACAAGTATGTGATATTAAAAATGTATGAAATAGAGAAGTGAAACTATTTAAATATAGGAAAGTACGACTTTTTCTGCTGTTCTTTAAATTTTCCTTGGTCTTATCAATCGTTAACTCACAATATCCTTCTGTCTCCAACCCCTCATATTGATAAATAGAGGTTACAAAAAATTCAAAATTTATGTGTACGTTTTGTTTGTGGCTTGAACAGGAGAGATCGTGTTTCCGCTCATTTAAAAGAATTAGGCTGGCTCAATATGGCTGAGAGACGAGCATTACACGCATGCTCGCTCTTTCAAAATATTTTAAATTCTGCAACACCTTACTTATATAATAAAATATCTTTTCGATGTGATGTACATAATATAAATATACGGTTTAAATCCAAACTCACACCACCACTTCACAAAACTCATCTATTTCAGGGATCTTTCACTAATTACGTATCTTGGCTTCTTAATAGGTTACCCATGCATTATCTCAGTTCAAACAATATTAGGTTAAAAAATTATGTAAAACGAGATTTAATGAATAGTACACTCTTCGTTGTTAAATAATTAAAAAATTTTAAGTATTGGGTTTTGGATGTTGGCTGTTTCTGGTATATAATAGAATATTCATTTTACGGTTAATTAATATTATTATAATAGGTTACCCTTCTTACGGTTTATTAATATTATTTACTTTTTGGTATTTTTACTTTTTTTTGAAATATTCTAGTTAGTTTTAGTTTTAACGGTTGAGTGGAAGAACACGTTCTAGTATTGCTCCGGCATAATAGAAACTGAACTCTGCCTTTTGGCTATAATTTTATTTTGTAAAAAATTATAAAAAAAAAATGTATAATTTGAGCCAATAAAAACATTATTATTATTATTATTATTATTATTATTATTATTAAATGCCATTTCAAAAAGAATTTCTCAAGGCACATGATTTGATTCCTGTCAATAATTGTTATCCTTCAATATCAGTTACTTCCGTTTTTTAACCGACTTCAAGATTCTTTTTTTGTTAGAAAAGGAATACTTCAGGGGTGGTCCCATATAAATTTGGTCAAAATCTAATAATTGGGTCCATGAGAAAATCCTCAAACTCTTCATTTTTTATGTATGTTTAGCGATAATGCTTTACCACCTTATCCGATTTATATGATTCTTTTTTTGTTAGTAAGGGGGTACCTCAGGGGGTGGTCCCATATAAAATTGGCACGTTTTTGAAGTCGGTTTTTTTAAATTTTTAATTTCTAATACTTGTCATGTAACACGATTTTTCTTTTGATTGCCTGGTTCAAAATCAGTACAATACAGTAATTTTTATGTTTGGTATTTTTTATTTTATAATGTATATTTACTATTCATTTATTTTATTTCTTTGGTTTTGCAATTTACTTTTAAATTTCTTATTTATACTTCTTTATCATTATGTAGATTACTTTGCTTATTATATTTTTCTAATAGATGTTATTATAGGTACCTACTTTTTTAGTTCTCAACTTATTTTATAGATTGACTGTCATATATTTTCAACAGCTTTATTTTTTAAAACAATTTTATCTTTTTATAAAACTACTTTAACATCATTTTAGTCCCTGTGTTCTATTACTTTTTATATTAATCTGCGTAGCTGTGTAGCTAATCCGTAATGGATAAGCCATGGTATCTCAAATTATTATTAACTTTGACTTCGCCCTTAATAATTTTTTTTGTTCAATTTTATTTTTTTGTATGAAATATTTTCACTTTTTAATACTTTGACTCCATGACTATCCATTTAGGAGTATCTGAAGATAACCTACTTCGAAACGGGTCGCTTAATAAATGACTTAGGTATAAACTACCTTTCGTTTTAATTTCTACCTTTGTACTCTTATATGGCTAGGCCTCACCCTTAAGTGTCATTAACTGGTACTAGTTTTTTATTACAGTTCTGACAGCTCAAAAAATATAAATTTTTTTCTAATGTATTTTAAAATTTTAAAGATTTTTCGAATTTTTTAAAGGCAGCATATAGTATATTTGACCGTCAACTCTCTATCCCAGGGAGCTCTTGTTAACTGATAGATTTTGATATAAGAACATGAACCCTTAAAGGACTTACTTATTGAGATACAGGGTCTTAAAAGTTTTAAATCAAAATTCAAAACTTGCTGTAAATCAAAAACGCCTTTAAATATTTTTTTTTTCAAATTTGATCTACCAAGGTCTTGTCAAATACACAAATTATTAAAAATTTGACACGTGATTACTAGATTAAAATTTAGAAATACGTGCAGATTTTTGTTTAGAAACATTTCTGTATTGGTCATTAAATTAAAAAAAAAATATATATATTTAATGGCGTTTCTGATTTAAAGCAAATTTTTAATTTCAAGCTTTTAACACCCTGTAACTTGGTAACTAAGTCCTTTAAGGGTTAATTTTCCTATTTCAAAATTCATCAATTGATAACAGCTGTCTGGGTTTTTTGGTCGAAGATACCAACACTTTGTACAGGGTTATTCATTATAAATTACCCACCCCTTATTATCGTTATTATTGTCTATAGAAAAAAAAGTTTCAAATAAAAGTTGTGTGGTAATAACTGAATTTTGTTAAAATGCTATCAACTATACAGTGGCGTGCGGATTTAAAGGGATACAAAAATATAATATATTTTTTTAATGGGACACCCTGTATATTATTACATTTTTGGATTTGTCATTTTTTTCTGATTTCAAAAATATATAATATGTCGAATATCTTAGGTAACTTGTTAATGCAAATATGAAAAAGTTATCATTATTAAAGTAGGCTATGAAAGTGAAGCAGTATATCTAGCTGCTCTTCCTGGTTTGCTTGAACTACACGCTTTTTTCTACTAAAACTGGAGGTGTGATTCACCTTTAGATAAATATTTTTGAACGTATTTTCTGATGGTGTTGGAAGATTTGGATACAATAATATGCTCTTTTTCTTGCACGTTAATTTTTGGTATTTTGCATATAACAAGTAAATATTTGGACTTTTTCTTCCTCACTGTAAACCATTTTGATTATTTCAAACATAATAGTAGTCATTTTCATAGCCTACTTTAATATAATAAGAACTTTTTCATATTTGCAGTAACTAGTTACACAAGATCTTCGACGTATGATAACTCAAAAACGGTATAAGGTACGGGTAATATATTATATATTTTTGAAATCAGAAAAAAATAACAAATCAAAAAAATACGTTCAAAAATATTTATCTAAAGGTGAATCACACCTCCAGTTTTAGTAGAAAAAAGCGTGTAGTTTAAGCAAACCAGGAAGAGCAGCTAGATATACTGCTTCACTTTCATAGCCTACTTTAATAATGATAACTTTTTCATATTTGCAGTAACAAGTTACCCAAGATATTCGACATATTATATATTTTTGAAATCAGAAAAAAATGACAAATCCAAAAATGTAATAATATACAGGGTGTCCCATTAAAAAAATATATTATATTTTTGTATCCCTTTAAATCCGCACGCCACTGTATAGTTGATAGCATTTTAACAAAATTCAGTTATTACCACACAACTTTTATTTGAAACTTTTTTTTCTATAGACAATAATAACGATAATAAGGGGTGGGTAATTTATAATGAATAACCCTGTATTATACATGTTAGGACCCATTGTAATCACTGACATGAATATTCCGTTGATTAAATGTTACAAGTCAACTTAAAATAACAAAAAAAGTTGAGCCACTCAATAATAAAATAAAATCAAATCGCAAAATTATATTTTACATACCTTTATTTATATATGTATTTTTTTTAGATTGATGTCTCCTGTCTCGTCCACCTTCACGTCATTTGCAAGACTCAAAAACTGGCTGTAATAACTGAGTTTGGGCAGCTCACTGTGACTATCACACTCTGCTGGGTTCAAATTACACACTCTAAGAGACCGGCATAAACTATTACATTCAAAGCATTCAAAGGACGGAGCAGAGTACATGGAGCAAATTATCCTGCATCACCTCAGTGAGACTTGACTTGGGAACAAGCTTGCGTAGTAATGAATATGTTCGTTGTTTTTCAATTTGTGAATTATTTATCTTTTTCTTTCCTCCATATTGTGGAATGTGCAGGTTAATGTTAGTTTGCTTTACAATTTTCAATAATTATGGAAATATCTATACACACCAATAGTGCTGCTCTAGTGCAAGAAAATGGTATAATATCAGAAAACGATTGCAGAAAAGTATTGCTTATTACAGAGAATTATAAAAATTGCTGTTTTCAGACGAAAATTAAATACAAATTAGTTATTATATTCATATTGGGTAATGTGTTTTCTGCAAAATTATAACTGTTTTCCCTCATCATTGTCAAAATTATTTTACACTGCAAATTTTACAATCCACATTAAAAAATAATTTCGTTTTACCTTAAACGCAAAAATAAGGTTATTTTATGTAAGGTTATTGTTGTATATTTGCCCCAGGATTAGTACTCAAACCACTGAACTATATATTTATAATGGAACGCTAGAGCCTATATTTAAAAGTTTACCACTTTGAATTCGCGCATCACGTTAAAAGAGCATTTCTAAGCATGCGCACTAAAGACCTTGAACAGGTTCGGTTTTGCCAATAGGTAATTTTAAAACGAAATTAAGGAAAGCTAAAGAATGTATTATCAATTAAATTAATGTTTAAATAAATGCTAATTATATTAGTTTCTTTCAATAAATATGTTCTAAATCACTTTAATTTTGATAGATTCTTAATTCTCATTTAAAAATAAAAATGGTAACGTTTAACACTCACTCACCACGACTATGTTTGTATCATAAGCCTCAGGTGAATTTTGAAAATCAAAAAAAATATGAAATGAATATTCTGTGAAAGTTACAAACTAAACTTTATCTACGTCTATCATAAAAGAGTTAGTATAATTATTTAAAACATTTGTAACTATTGTTTATTATGTTCATAAGTTTGCAATTTTTTTATAAAATTAAACATTGCAAGAGTAAGCTGAAACATTAATGTAATAATATATAAATGGACAGTAATTTTATTTCGGTCTATCAAGTAGTATTTAAAAGAGTTGTCAGGTAGGTATTTGAAGATAGAATACAACAATACTGTAAATATTTTATTTATTGGTTTTTAAAAATTACCAGCCTTGAAAATTTTTTCCTAAGAAGGGTACCTCTTAAATTTTCAGTTTGTTTTTTTGTTATAGCGTACAATCGGACTTTTACATAAATTTGTACAGCTACTTTTAATAATTTGATCTTGTGATTGTTTAATATGGAACAGTCAAAAAGATGACTATCTAGAATACTTAGCAAATTTTGTTGCCCCAGTTCCATTACTATGTGTTGAATTAAGACATTGAAAAAATTTTTTTCAGCTGGCAACTTATTATTATTTAGATTTAACATGTCTAATTTTTTTTTCACAATATAAACATATTTTTACAAAGTCTTGAGATGGTTTAAGTAAACCACCTCTATTTTTTCTATTAAGTGACATACAATTCTCACAGTCGACAGAAAATGTTGACAATGTATGAAGTGCCATTAAACATTCTGCACATTTAATATATTTCTTAATTTTTTTTAAAACAAATCCCGCTATGTGTGTAACAACATTTTCTGCCAATAGATTTAAAGCAGGAAGTCTTTCAATAAAATATTCAATATTTTCATCTTCAATATATAAATCTGATATGTCTACACCATATTTTCTGTTGAATTGGATGTCGTCAATCGATATATCTTGTTGAACTGTTTTTGCAGTTGAAGAGCTAACTGTCAGAATACTAGTTTCATCGTCCCCTATGCAGTTCCCCTTCATTCCTTTTAAATCTAATTTCAATGCCAACCGCTTGTATGTATAATAAAATTGGTATGCCGTTGGATTATTATTCCATCCATTTTTAGACCTGAAAGTTGGGAAATATTAAAAGTCTTCATTTTATATTAAGAGTTAAATTATTTTTTTTTGATTGATTTTTAACAGAAAACAATGTTGCACATGGATACTCAGTATATGTTAGTATTAGAGTAATATACAGAAATCTTTAATGAATTTATATATAAAAAAATTACCGTATACAGCAAACTAATAATTCGATATGATCCTGGCTGAATTTGTATGTTAAAACATACTTTAAAGGAGAATCTGGTTTCAAAACACACTCTTCATAAATTTTAATAAATGATAAAATTGTTATAGAAAATCCTTGAAATGCTGTTTTTTCCTTGTTTCGTACAATAATATCCCTTGCTCATTTTTTAAAGTTTTACAATACTTTAACGTTTCATTGAATATGAACCACCAATATTCGGCGTTGTTTTCTCTAAGAGGAGCTTTACATCCTTTTCCCCATGGATTTCTGGAGTTACATAAATCAAAAGCTCTATCAAAACATTTAAGAAATTGAATTGTTCCCTCAGCGTGTTGGAAATCAGGATGCTCTATATCCCTCATTAAAAAGTCCAAAGCATCAGCAACACTGCCACTTATTGTTTGAGCTGCCAAATTTACCTTAAAAAAATGTGTATTGCATTAATAAGTAATCTGAGAGTATACTTTCTAAATTCAGTTCATACTTCATAAACTAATGAAAACCCATATGTTAAAATTATAAAACAAAAACAGTTTATTTTTCATAAAAGACAACAAAAATTCTATAGGCTGGTTTAGATTGTTTCTCTCCCCTTAAAATATCCCCTGTTATAATTGCAATAATTTATGGTTTTTGAATTACGTATTTATACATACCTTCATTTTTTGTTGCTGCCATTGTATATGTGATTGACTCAGTTTGTTTCCTAATTTGCAGAATTCGTTTTCTTGTATATAATGCAATTTTCTTATCAAACCATAATCAATCTTTCGTCCCTCATTATCAATGAATACTTCACAAGCAGCCCAACTGTTCCTCAACAATTTGATCATATGACATGGATCAAAAATAACATGTACCATTGTATTGTTATCAACAGGATGTGGAAAATATGGTTTCAAATTGTTGATATCTTGTAAATTGGCACCTAAGCCTTTAGCCATAGTAAAGTTGGCAGAAGGACCATCACAAGTTACTGCAACAATTTGAACCCCAACATCATGCAATTTTATTAAGGCTTGCTTAATAATGTTTGCTTTCTCTGTTCCTGTTAATGAATGAATTAGAAAGTAGGCTACTGGTAATTTCCAACTTCCAGTAACAGCGACTACCAGCAGTACAAAGACCTCGGTTGCATATTTTATATCATTATTCTGGATATCATTTCCTATATCCTCATAGCCCCAACTTCTATTTCCAATAAAATCTACTTGCTTTTTAATAGACATCTCATCAACAATAAGACTGCAAATAGTCTTTTTATTTTCAGCTTTGTTTTCTTCAACGATTTTCTTTAAAGATATGAATGAACATTCTGAAAATCCTGGTTCACAGTTAATTTTACTTAACCAGGATCTTATTGTGCTTGGGGCAGGTAAAGCCAAATTAAAAACTCTTCTTACATAATTATAGGCCTTACTTGAATAAAACTGTAAAGTTATAGCAAATGTTCTCAATTCTTCTGGAAATTTAGCTCGGCCTTGTTTTATGTTTCTAGAAATATTCCTTACATTCTGCATATATCTCTTCATTAATGCTAATGGTATTCCTGAAATTGATTTCTGTAAAACATCAATAGCATTATCAGAAACCATATTTTTTTCTTTAAATGCCATAACATATCTTTTAAATGTGTAATCTTCTTCTTCAGTCTTTTAAGATGTTTTCTCTTCTTTCGTATATTCTGAAGCAGCCTTTTTCTGCATACTTTCACTTTGCTCAAAGTTGTTCTTAGAGTTTTTGTGGAGACACTGAAATATAATATTTTATTAGTAAATTCTGTTGATTAAACAAAATATATCTTTTGTAATAATTATCAAAATATTCTCTTATAAGATGCAAAGGAAAAAATCTAACAGTTTCCTAAATGAAAAGATTTTTGTTTCGTAATTTGTTCAAATACAAGTATCTAATATAGGTATACCAATAACCTATGTATTATTAGACTTTAAGAGCACTGGTGGTAAAACCACAAAAGACCTGAAGGTGTTTAAGTTATAAAAGTAATTTTAAAAAACAGACTCCAAAAATGAAGAGTTTGATGATTTTCTCATGGATCACCACATCTTGAGCAAATTTATATGGAACCACTCTTGAAATCCCCCCTTTCTAACAAAAAAAAAAAAGAATCATAGAAATCAAACGTGGTAAAAATTTTTGGCTGAATATACATTAAAAAAAATATTTTGATAAATTCAGAAACTCCTATTTTTGAAGTCAGTTAAAAAAGGACAATAGTCTAAAATACGCCTTGTTTTTTTTTGTAATTTGTAACAATTAATCATGGAGGTAGAAGGTAGGGAGACGCTATGAGCATCTTTTTCAAACATTCAAAACGGTATCACTTAGTCGTGGTGACAGTCATTCCAATATGGCCGTTCTGCCAGGGCCGGACTATTGGTAATGCAACTCAAACCCTAATTTGCTTTTTTAATTAATTGTAAGTTATAAATTAATTGTCATAAAACGGATAATTATTAACAGTTTTAATAAAAGTATTAAGAAATTATTAAAATGCAAGTAAAAGGAGACTTTCTGTAACATAGTTAAAAAAAAAATAAATAAAAATTCCTCATTTCATTTTATATGTCACGGTTTATCAGTTACGGTTTAACATAAAATAATCAAACAGTTGTTAAGGTATTAATAGAAAAAATATTACGGCAAAATCAATATCCAATATAAAAATTATGTTTATTGACCCTTAAACAATACAATTTTATTATTGTGATGTCTTAGGCTATCACATTTTTTTATTTTACTTTTAATAAGGTAACACATACTAATGTTTGTGTATTTGGTAGCTAAAGCTTTTATTAACAGAACTCTATGGTTATCCAATGGATCCTGATCAAAACCGTGGGCTATCAAATTTGCAAATATATTTTTATTTATAAATGACTTTAACACTGAAGATACAATAGAGTCTACAGAATTAAGAT